GGCAGGGAAGAGTGTAATCTCCGAGGCACTTGGACTGGAAAGAAGCAGAAGCAAAGCCCTTCTTGAATGCCCTGTTTTTAGGAGACTGTTGTCCACATGCTGCTCAGAATCTGACTCTGTGTGAGCTCTCAGGTGAGTAAACTCACCGTCCTGGACCCAGACCTCCAACTCCATCCTTTAAGGTGGAAACGTGATGGTCTTGTTTGTCTCTGGGCTTTTGTTGTTGTTAGGTGCCATCAAGTCAATATTGACTCATAGTGACCTTATATACAACATAACAAAACATTGCACCTTCCTGCACCAACCTCACAATTGTTGCTACACTTAAGTCCATTGCTGCTGCCACTGTGACAATCCATCTCATTGGGGGTCTTCCTCTTTTTCACTTACCTTCCACTTTACCAAGCACTGGTCCTTCCTGATAATCTGTCTGAAGTATGAGAGACAAAGTCTGCCCATCCTGGCTTCCAAGGAGCATTCTGGCTGTACTTCTTCCAACACAAATTTGTTTGTTCTTTTGGCAATCCATGGTACTTTCAATATTCTCCTCCAACACCATAACTCAAATGCATCAATTATTCTATGGTCTTCCTTATTTCACTGGCCAGCTTTCACATGCATATGAGGTTATTGAAAATACTATGCTTAGGTCAGGTGTACCTTAACCCTCATACTGACATCTTTGCTCTTGAATACTCTAAAGAGGTCTTGTGCAGCAGATTTGCCTAATGTAATACATCATTTGATTTCTTGACTGCTGCTTCCATAAGTATTTGTGATTGATCCAAGCAAAATGAAGTCTTTGGATTTTTATACCATACAATTGGGTTATGAATTTATGGCCAAGTGTTTTCTGGTAATATATAGGTTTGCTATGAGGAATAAAAGGAAGAGAATGGGCAATGCAAAGAATCCTATAGGGAGTCCCTGGGTGGCAAATAGTTAACACATTCTGAGAAACCTCAGGAGAAAAAAAAAAAAAAATCCTGATGATCTACATCCAAGAAACCAGCCATTGAAAATGCCATGGAACACATTTCTACTCTGATATACAGGGAGTCACCACAAAACGACTCCACAACTGGTTTGGTTTCTTGTTGTCGGTTGCCACCAAGTCCATTCACTCCCAGTGAACCTGTGGAAGAGAGCAGAGCTGACGCTTTGGGTTTCCTAGGCTGTGATCCTTACAGGAGCTGACTGCCAGTTCTTTCTCCCAGAGAAAGGCTGAGCGTTCAAACTGCCAACCTTTTCATTATCAGTCAAGCCCAGGCTTCTTTATTTACTACTTGTTGTTGTTGTTAACTGCCGTTAAGTCGATTCTGACCCATAGCAACCCTGTATAGGGTTTCCGAGGAGCAGCTGGTGAGCTTGAATCACCGACCTTGCAGTTCAAGTGGCTTTACAACCTGGCACATTAACCCATAGTGCCACACTCTTAATAAACATCACTGGTTGAATGAATTGTGTATTTATAATAGAAATATGAGAGTCAGCCTGATCCAGATCCCCATTCTCATTCCACACATCTCCTACTCCCTTGAGATTGTATTCCTCTCTACATCACTTGCCTCCTCCCTGCAACTAGGAGAAGATGGCATGTAATTTATGGGGATACAGAGAAAAGATGAAGGGGGAGAAATGGATAGACACAGAGTGTGTTAGTAGTCATTGCATCTAGGAGCAACCAGAAACATGTCAGAATGACTAACTCACTGGGACCAACTAATTAAGCCTTTGAAATGCTTTGATACTTTCTACCATGGCATGGCAGAAATCTTGGAGTCCTGGTGTGGCACTGTAGGATAAGCACTTGACTGCAAGGTCAGATTGAACCACAAGGTCAGTGTTTCAAACTCATCAGCCGCTCTTCGGAAATCCTATTCAGGGTCACCATGAGTCAGAACCAACTTGACGGCACTTAACAACAACAACCATGGCATGGAGGATTTCACTCTTCTCACTCTGAGTATGTACAAGAAAAAAAGAAGCCCACAGCCCATTAAAGCAAGAGACTGATGAGAATGGTACATGCCAAGAGAAGAGAGAAATAGCATTGAAAATCCAAAGAGGGCTTTTATTTATTGAAGCTAGGTGATGTATTTTTGCTCCCTGATCCTTGCTGAAGAAGACTCTTAGAGATTAGAGAAGAAGAGGGAAAGGGGGTTGGGTCTGTGTGACTCACCGGCCCAAAGCAGCATCTTCCCCATCTCTGCTGTAGTCCCAGAACAAAGTCCTAGGGTCCTGGGTGCTCTATATCAGGTTTGGATGGGGAGGGGCCTGATTATCACTGTGAAAATGGAACAGCTGCAGGAGACAGTGTGCCTGCAATTCAGCCCCAAGGCCTGCTTCCAGCTCTACACTTGTGCTCTTTCCAAGGTCCCCCTTGTGCCAAGTTCAGCGAATACATTAAGCGTCACATCTTCTCAAGAAGACAATATTCTTCTGACTATTTCTTGGACAGTGAGATGCAGAAAGCCGTGATGCTGTTATAACAATGCTTCCCTCACCTGACCATCTTGTACCAACTAACTGATTAAATCAAACATCTACTGAGTGTCTCCCTTGTATTGTGTACTAGGGATACATGGGTGCTTAAGATACGGTGGCTGCCCTTACATCTAGTAATGTAGTCATGAACATATGGAGACAGATTGAAATGTATTATTACCACATTGCAATAAATGCTGTAGAAAATGAAAGAGGGTATCTCTACTGGAGGGGGAGGCAAGACTCCACAAAGCAGCTGACCGGTGAATTTGGACTGTCATAACTTACCCACGAGAGGAGAGAGGAAAGGTCATTTTAGGGGGAAGGGATAACATACTTTAAAGCCTGGGATATCTTTAGAGCAGTGAAATTTCTGCATGACGCTATAATGATGACACGTGAGATTATACAGTTGTCAAATGTGAACTGATGATATATCAATATGGGCTCATCAGTTCTAACAAATGTACCAAAGAACGTAAGATGTTAACAATCGGGTCAATTGTGTGCAGGGGAGAAGGAATAGATGAGAATTCTCTCAACTTTCTGCACAATTTTTTTTATATATATAAACCTCAAACCATGCTAAATCATGAAGTCTATTTAAAAAAAGAAGAAGAAGAATCTTGCTCCCCTGAAAAAAGGCTGGGACAGGAGTGAGTCTGAGGTATACAGGGACTGGTAAGGACCTCTCAGTGACTGAGCTGCAGGCCAGCTTAGAAGAACACCAAATGGACAGACCATGTGACTACCCTAATGGACACTCACTTCAAACTGCAGGCAGCTAATAAGGGAAAAGCCATGACACATAGACCAAGGGAGTGAGGTCATTTGACCCTTCACCCAAGACACCAAGAGATCACCCTACCCCCAGTCCCAACTCTGGACTCCCAAGAAGACAGATGATCCACTTCTTAACTACCTCAACCCACCCTCCTGAGGGTTGCCATCCACTGTAAACAGTGGAGGAAAGGGTCATGGATAAAGAGCCGCGTGGACAGTGTGGGCAGCAGGAGAGAGAGGTAAGGAAGTCAAAATACTGGGCCAGGACTGTGGGAGCAGGTTTTGAAGTTCCTGGTGACATTTGGATAGTGAAGTAGAGGGTTTGAGTGCATCCAAGAAAAGGGGAAGCAGAGAGCTGGCTACTTTCACATGGTTCTAAATTGTGGGTTTAGGGGGCAGATGTGAAGAGCTTTTTATGTTTCTGCGTTGTTACTGTACAAACAAGTAAAATGCTAAAGCAAGTCCATACTTGCTTGAAAATTCCTTGGTGTCTAAATTCATGTCTCATTAACGCCCAAGAAGCTAACACATACCAAACTCTCAAAAAAAAAAAAAAAAAATTAATTAAAGTGATTCTGCTGCTGATTTTTAAACTAACAGCATCCACACCTCTCCATAGCTTGGTTCCTTCTACTGCAAGATAAAGTTTAAGTTAGACACTCAAATGGTTTCAGGCCAGGAAGCAGCTAAGGGGATCAGTAGGGAGTAATGGTGGTGGTGGTTATGTGCCGTAGAGTCGGTTCCGACTAGGGGCTGTGAAAAAACAGTCAGATGCATTAAAACTGTGTGCTGCTTCTTCCCCATCCCCTTGGGGGAGGGAAATATTTTCTGGTAAAATTTGACTTTCAAGTCACCTGTTTAAAATATTAAGATTTTGTTTTGTTTTCCCTTCCTGTAACATTCTTGAGTCATTCATTGCTCTGACTCATGCTTTTTCCTAAGGATTGTTATTGTTAAGTGCTGTCGAGTGGGTTCCTACCATAGTGACCCTGTAAAGGGTTTCTGAGGAGCGGCTGGTGAGCGTAAACCTCTGACCTTGCCGTTCAAACCTACTTTGCAGTCCAGCGCATTAACCCACAGTCCCTCACCAGGACTCCACTTCCTAAAGACAGACAAAACATGGGAGAGAGAGTGCTGAGAGAAGTGATAACCTCCAGTAGATAACTTGTTGTTAAGTGCCGTAGAGTCAATTCTGACCCATAGTGACCCTGTGTAGGGTTTCCAAGGAGCGGCTGGTGAGGCTGTGTCCTTGAAGTCTATGCTACAGCTCTGTAACCAGAGGCAGCCCACTATCAATTAACAAATTCTTTAAAGTACTTGTTAAAGTTTCAATATGGAGTCCGTGCTTGGCTGCTAACCAAAACGCTAGAGGTTCAAACTCACCCAAAGTTGCCTTAGAAGACAAGGATTAGTCAGCCATTGAAAACCCTATGGAGCACCGTTTGACTCTGACACAAATGGGGTCCCCATGAGTAGTGGTTGACTGTATGACAACTGATATGTGAGTTTGAATTTAGAATAAACTCTTAAAAGTAGAACACAAGAAAAGACATTGTAGAAGGAACATCACAAATATTTGGGGGTTTTTGATTTATTAATTGGAGAAAGTAAGAATTCCATAAGGAGAAGGAAGTTCAGGATCATTTAAAATGCTGCTGAAAGTCCACAGAAGCATTAGGGCAATCCCAGAGTCCTGCGGAGAGGGGTGGAGAAAGATGCCTTTCTCTAGTCTAGGCAGAGTAGGCAAAGCCCACCCTGTTGTTGGCCATGTCATAAACAGAGTAATATTCCTTGAGGAAGACATCTCCCAGAATCCACAGGGGCTGCCCATTGGGAGAGGGCAGGTAAGTGGCTTCAATTCCAAGTCTGCAGTAGCCATTGTTCTAAAAAGACAAAGGACATGAGGCTATAACTATGTGAACTGTAGAGACATTTCCCCACAGGAACTCCCTCTACCATCTATTCCTGTAACACTCATGGGACCTCTGAATTCCTGTTTAGCCTCAGCCTGCCCCCCTGATGATTCTTCCTAATTGTCCAGATGTGATCTGAGACATGGGACAGCAGTTTGGGCCCCACTGCTTTACAGGATCCAGAAAGCCCAGGAGAGAATACGTACGTTGAAGACATAGGCAGAGGGAGGCAGAGGGAACTGGGACCCGCCGATGACGAAGGTGATGGTGGGCATACTCTGTACATTGTTGCAGTTGACCACAAACTGAGAGAAGGAAGAGGTGACACTAAGGAACCCAGGAACATGGAGCCCAGACAAGGGCCCACACCCTTTTTCCTGAGTCCCCTTCAAGACCTTGCCCTTGACCCTCTAGCACAGGCTGCTTCAGGCATAAAGGGCATGGCTTGTTTTCCAGATGCAACATTGGCTGAGCCCTCTTGCGTTTTTGAGCCCTCTTCTCAAACACATCTCCTCAAACATGTCTCATGTCCTAGTTTTGGGTTGTGTTGTTATGACTAAAGAACTTTGACTTACTCTGAAACATAGTCTCTAGCCTTAAAAAGTGCAATCTACAGAGAAAAGATATGAGCATGCTCACACATGTAAAGAAAAATAATAATAATACTCTTGTGCTCATTCAGATCCACATTTGTGGACTCACGTCTGTGAGCTCACCTCACATATGCACACTGAAAAACCAAGATTAGTATGCAGGGAGAAGCAAAGTATTGATATGCATACAAAGGGATGTAAATCAGTAGAGAGAAGGCAGCTCTGGAGAAAACCCAAAGGTGTATTTCTAGAGAAGAAAGAAATCCAAGTGGATTAAAGAAATGTATGGCTCTTAAATTTCAGTGCAGTCAAATAACACTGGTCAGACAAAGTAGAAACATGCTCCTGAGCCTGTCATGAATTAGCAGGCCCTCCTGACAACCATTTACCCCAAACTCACAGTCAGGTGACGTGGAATACTTCCTCCCCTCACCCTGCCTGCACTGAGGATTCAGAGCCTGAAATGCCATGTTGAGTTTCCACCTCATCTGTCCTTTTAGGGGCTCAGGTCCCCTCTCAACCCTTCTTCCTCTCCCTTGTGAACTCAGTGCACCCAAGCTCCTGTGTTGAGGTTGCCTGGCTATTCAGAGAAACCACTGGCTTCTGGTTACTCACATCACCATTCTGAGCCTGCTGGGCTCCTGTTGCCTGCAGGAAGGAACTCATGTACTGCTGGGGGACAGCCAGCAGGAAGGTTCCAGTATCCACGATGGCCTGGCAGCCCTGGGAGCACAAGCCTGTGGCCTGATTACCGATGGCAAACCTGAGGGGATGACCAGGAAAAAGAGGGTCAGGTGCCTCCGCTACAAGGCATGTCCACCCCTTCTTCCTCCAACCCAGCAGCTCGAACACTCTTCCTTTTCCAGCAAGTCAAGGCAATGATATCATACATCTACCCATGAAATACTTCTGTGTCTTTGTGATTATTGGTAGCAGTCACGATCATGAGTTTTGGAAACAGCTTGTGCTCAAATCCTGACCTTATGAAGTATGTAAATTTGTTTCTGAAATACTGCTGGCCTCCTCATAGTGTTGTGGAAATTGTATGCAATAATATATGCAATGTATTTAGCATAGCGTCTACCACAAAGAAAACACCAATGTCAGGTGCTACTGTTACTGATGATGTTCTTGCTGCTAGGTGCCATCAAGTCAGTTCCAACTCATAGTTACCCTGTGCACAACAGAACAAAACCCTGCCCAATCCGGCACTGTCCTCACAAGTGCTGTTATGTTTGAGCCCATTGTTGCTGCCACTGTGTCAGTCCATCTTGTTGGGAGTTTTCCTCTTTTTTACTGACCTTCCACTTTACCAAGTTACTGATGATGGAAGCAGTAAAGATAATGCCTCCAACATTCAACATGGGTGATGCTGAAGCTTCCAGGAACAAAGACATGGATTAGTCTAGGAATGACCCATCTACTGGCATGGCAAGGCTTGGGTGACCAATTCTGAATGTTCTGACAAGAACTGTACGTTAGAACTTATGAGGCTTAGGTCCATCTTAACCTGGAAGGCTTAGTTGATTCTTTTAGAAACCTGTGCAATGTGGAGGAAAGGTGTCAGCCATGACAGAAACAGGAAACATAGTCATACTTGAGGAACACCTAGGATGCTTACAATCCATTGACATTGTACTTTCTACTTACTCCTGGATGGCAATCTGCCAGTAGACTTCCTGGGTGACAGGGGTCCAGGTGATCTGACCAGAATAAAGTTGGGTGTCCACACCTCCAAGGATGAGCTCCCCGCCATACTGATGGGTTGGTTGACTGGGGAGAAAGATAGAAAAGCATGAGTTTCCACAATATGAATGGGACAGATAGTTCCTCTCTCCTTTCTCCTCTATTATGCTCCCTCCCTCAGACTCAGAGGTTGGCAGAATGGGAGTCACCTGGCTCAGATTTGCAAAGGAAAAGAGACTTGTAAGAGTAACACTCAAGTATTAGCAAATTGGAAGCCTTGATTATATCAATAAAGGATACGATGGAGTTAGAAACTAGACACCTGAAAATAAACTGTAAAAGCATCTCAGAAATACTCTCTGAGACAAAGTAAAAAAAGCAGAAACATCTCTGAGATCCCCTGGAATAGGATCTGACAGATCTCAAGTGTGCTGTGACTAGAATGCTCCTACCATGGTCAAGGTAGGAACTAGACAATGCTATTTGAAAGAGGTATTAGATCCCAGATATGCCAGCCTTAGAAGAAGAGACTTGAACTTCAGGGCATTTTGAGGGTCATGTGCTTAGGAAATAGTGAGCAGAGAATAAGTTATGTCACTAACGTTCAAGATCAGGTGGAGTAGAAAAAGCATTAGATTTGTGATCAAGTTGTTGAGTTTGACTCTTGACTCCACATCTATCAGTGGGTGACCTTGATTAGTAGTGGAAACCTGTTTGAGCCTCCACTTCCTCACTGGTAAAGTAGGGTTAATAATAGGGTTTTTGAGGTATTTTAGGGTATATGTCACTTGGCACAATAGTTACAAGAACACTTTATAAAGCTGAGGGCATTATTAAAATTATGATTTCATTATTTGTCTCTTTACTAATAAATGCTCATGAGGCATGTTCTATAGAGCTACAGTTAAGCAAATCTAATACATTGATAGCCAGGTCTACAAAAATAACTGCTAAGGGAAATTGTTTACTTTTAAGAAAAGCATCATCATAAGACTTTTGACCTAACATAATGAATAATTTCTACAGTGCATTTAAAATAAATCTCCCCCTGCCCCAGTTAAATTACATTTTTTCTTAGAAATACATGGATTGCATATAGCAAGTTGTACTCATTGTATCAGGAAGCTTTATAAATCGGACCATGTCTAGTCTTTGGTGTGAGCTCCATGGGGCCTCCAAAGCCAGAACAGGGAGTAAGAGAGCAGGTCCCTTACCGTGAGAAGTAGAAACTAAAGATGGGTTGAGTAAGCTGACCCTGCTGCAGCATTCCCTCCATGACTGTTGGGGCATTTCCCACTGCCATGTTTGGGTAGGCCATGCCCAGGATCCCATCAAAGTCTGAGTAGTAGAAGGGGTTGCTGGGTTCATTCTCACTCAAGCCAAACTCTTGGTTGTTGATGACGATGTTCTGAACCTGAGGTGAGCAGACAGAGAAGCTTACATTTCAGGTGTATCAATCCTTCCCAGACTTAAATGCCTACGGCCTAGACTCTAGGACAGGAAGTTGGCATCTTTCATGCAGAGCTCAACCATGGAGGTGGGAATGGAGGTGGATGGGTAACAGTGTCACTGAACTATGTTTATGTCTGGGAGATAGGGAGAGTGTGTATGCTGTAGAGGGAAAGGCAGCTGTTTTCTGGAGTTCCAGTTTCCACCATCACAGAAAGTGAAAGGGCAGTTACCAGTTTTATAAGGAACAATCCAGGTGGAGAAATGATTAGAGGAACTGTGAGTGTTTGATCTATAGAAATAAGGAAAAGAGTGAAAGGACATGTCTTCAAATATCCAAGGTGTTACTGTGTAGAGAGGAGGCAGATTTATTCTCTGTGGTCCATAAGGCAGAGTTAAGACCAAGGGCAAAATCGCCAGTAGACAAGCTTTAGTACAAAATAAAGAGTTTTCTCGGCTACAAGGCCACCTGTCAGGACTGCTTTGGAAGCAATTCTTGACTTGGGAGATTGAATTAGACAATCTTTGAAGTCCCTTCCAACTTTCGGATTCTATGAAGATTGTACCTAATTAGTAAGCATGAATTTCTCTGATAGCTGAAAACTCTAGAAAATGGGACTCAAATCACAAATTCTCAGAGGTTAAGAGCTTCACTCACTGTCACGGTGTCATATCCCAGGACCACAGTCAGGCTGCCACTCCCATAGGACAGTGTATAGGTTTGTCCATTGTTTCTGAAGGTGGAGGACTGGCTAGGGTTGAACCTGTTGTGGTTGGCTGTGGAGAGACAGAAAACATTAGTGTCATTCACTGTTTTCCCCAAACTTGGAGACAACTTATCCTCAATGCCCTGAGATCTTCAGATCAAGATTGACATAGGCCATCAGTCTCAGATCCTCTGTACTGTAGATTGATTGTATTGATCTCCCAAAAGGTCTGTCCCCTTGGATGATGACAAACTTTGCTTAGGTTCCTTCTAAGCTACCATGAAGTGAGGGAAGGACTGGCTTAGAGGAGCTAAGAACACTGGGTCACAAGAGAGCTGACGGGAAGGAGAAATGTAGAGAGGAATGGAAGCCGAGCGTATTTCTTCTGCCTCTCTCCAGAACAGTCAGCGATTTCCACTGAAGTGCCCAATAAGGGCAGGATTTCTAATTGTTCCTAATAAATTATTATAAACCTGAGCTCCAATTCTTACTCTTCCACTTCTTAACTCACTCCCTTCCCTGCCCCTCCTCTGCTTCTCACCACGGGGATGCATGGTGATGGTGGGATACTCACAGCAGGCCTGGCTTTGGCAGTAGGTAGAAGGCACCCACAAATTGGAAGAACCAGTGTCAAAAAGGACCAGGAAATTTTGGGGTGGGGTCCCAATGCTGATCTCTCCAAAGTAGAACGACTGCAAAGAAAAGTTGGTTAGCTTCATTAAGCTCTCAGCCTTAGACTAAGGATGGGAAAGACGTTAGCCCACTTTTCCCAAATCTTTTCATTAGGAGAATAAGAGACTTCTCCCAAATTCTCCTTTTCATCTGGAAACTACACCTCTTAATATTCCACCTTTTTGTCCCTAGCTCCAAGTTTAGTCCTTTGATCATCTGAGACTTAATTTAGCAAGACAATGTCCTCCTCCAACTGTGTGTTCTACTTTTCAATAAGTTGATACCTCAGTGATTTTCTCTCCCTTTTTCAGTGTCCATCAACTCTCTCCATCTCACTTTCTCTCTCTCAGACACACACACACATACACACCCTTCTCTTCTTTTCCAGTGTTAGGTAGTTTTACCACCATTCTCCTCTTTCCTGGTCACATGCTAGCAAAAGTAATAAACAAAAAATGTTTGGGGTGTGAGACAGCATAGAAGAGCATTTCATTAGAAGGTAGTTTAACGTCTAAATGAATTTGACCACTCACGTCACTTACCTGACTCTAGTTCCTTCATCTATATAAACTGTGAGATACCATATAGCCCAGAAATTCTATACCTAGGTATATACACAAAATTGAAAGCAGCAATGGAAACAGGTACTTGTTCACAAATATTCATTGCAACATTAGTCACAATTGCCAAAATGTACAAACAACCCAAGTATCTATCAATAGATGGATGGATAAACAAAAGATTGAGTCATACAATGAAAATATTTTCAGCTATAAAGAGAAATATGGTTCTGATACGTGACACAACATGGATGAACCTTGGAAACATGCTAAATGAAATAAAACAGACACAAAATAGCATATATTATATAATCCCACTTACATGAAATGTCTACAAAAGGCAGATGCATAGAGATAGAAAATAGATTAGCAGATGTTGGGGATTGAGGGGAGAGGATAGATAATGGGGTTATTGCTTAATGAATACTGCATTTGGGTTGGGGTTGATGAAAGGTTTTAGAAATAAGTAGTGGTGAGGTTTTTTTTTTTTTTTTTTTTAATGTGGGAGCTGAAATAGGAGATCCCTAAGGAGTCCTGGTGTGGTGCTGTGGGTTAATGCGCCAGACTGCAAAGTCGTTTGAACTGCAAGGTGAGCAGTTTAAGCTCACCAGCTGCTTCTCGGAAACCCTATACAGGGTCGCAATGGGTCGGAAATGACTTGATGGCACTTCACAACAACAACAACAAAGGTGCCATCCAAGGAGCTCTGGTAGAATAGTGGTTATGAGTAAGGCTGCTAACCTCAAGGTCAGCAGTTCAAAACTACCAGCTGTTCTGTGAAAGAAAGAGAAAAAGATGAGACTTTCTGCTCCTGTAAAGATGCTGCTATTGAGTGCCATTGAGTCTATTCCAATCCATAGCGACCCTGTATAGGGTTTCCAAGGAGCAGCTGGTGAGCTTGAACCACCAACCTTGCAGTTTGCACAGCTTTGCAGTCTGGAGCATTACCCCACAGTGCCACACCAGGATTCCTGGTATACAGGAGTCCTGGTGTACAGCCTCAGAAACCCTATGAAGGGTCACTATGAATTGAAACAGACTCCATGGCACACCACCACTAAGGTGCCGTCCAGCTCTAACATCTAACCAAGAACAAGTCCATTGCACACCTCGTGTTGCCCTGATCAGACATTCAAATGCATTCATTTTCTCTAGGAACCAGTGTACTTTCTCAAAGTGGGGAGAGAAATCATGTCTAGAGCCACTGGAGATGTTGTTGCATGGCCTAGCAGCCTCCTATGTCTTTCTCGTCTTTCCCCTGGAAACTCTTTGCTAGGACTTCCTTTGGATCTCTCAGTTGACTCAAACATTCCCTGTATGTAACGCTTAACTATATGAATGGACTTTAGAAAGATGGGCCATTAATGAGAGGAAAGAGAACTATTCTACTAGTATATGGTACCAATACACAACTTTATTACTCAGATAGGAAGGTAAGACTTAGAGAGGTTTAGCAAGTAGTTCAAAATCACAGCTAACAAGAGGTAAAAAATGAGTGTCTAAGAATGGTTTGTAGCCAAGGGTTATGAACAACCACCCTCCCACCTCACTCACATCCATGTAGTTGGTGATGGGTTCATAAGCAACAGCATCATTACTGAAATACTTGGTAGCTGGATCAGTTTTGGGGTTGTTCCTTAGAAATGTCTCCAGGACACCATGTTCTTCCATTGCCTCGCGAATAGACTTGCCTTTCTTCAGAATTATTCTGTAGAGAACAACAAAAGCCATGTGATTCACCCTGTCCCATTAAAACAATTTAATGAACTGACCTGGAGTCTTCAAACATCTTCAGTACTCTGCTCAAGGAGAGGCTTCCTAGAGGAAATTCTCTCAGATTCTAGCCAGTTCTACCACTCTACCCATTCCAACGTTTCCAGCAGAAGTATACATAAACACCCATAATTTGTTTTGGTTTGGTTGGAAGCTTATATAATATTTCCCTGCTTCTTTCAGGTCCTTCGTATAATCTTGGGGCATAATTCTTGGAAAACAAAACACCCAATCCGCCCTTACATACTCACACATACCACACACACCTGTATTCACATTAAATGAACACATTTAAAGTCTTGGGTCACAGTACATAAGGAGCTCTGGTAGTGTGGTGGTTACAAATCAGGCTGCGAACCTCAAGGTCAGCAGTTTGAAACTATCAGCTGTTCCATGGGAGAAAGATGAGGCTTTCTGCTTCTGTAAAGATTTACAGCCTTGGAAACCCTGTACAGGGTCTCTATGAGTTGGAACCGACTCCACGGCACATAACCATGACCACCACATGTATAGTTCTTAATATTGAGAGCCGCCCTGACTGCTTCTCCAGGAAGTCTTAGAAAAGAAAGCCTAAGCACAAGGTCAACAGTTCAAACCTACCAGCCACTCTGTGGAAGAAAGATGAGCCTGTCAGTTCCCAGAAAGATTTACAGCCTCAGATAAACTAGAAACAGTTCTACTCTGTTCTATTTTATTGTAGTGGTTGTTGTTAAGTGCTATCTAGTCAGTTCCAATTCATAGAAACCCTATGAGGAGATGCTGGTGAGTTTGAACTACTGACCTTGTGGTTCCAACCAATCTTGCAGTCCAGCACATTTTAACCACAGTGCCACATCATGGCTCGGATATGACTCAATGGCAATGAGTTTTATTTTGACTGGATCCCTGGAACTCACAATGAAACTAAATCCCAGTACACACCTTTGCAAACCCTCTGAGAGGTGCAGACAAACCAAGACCAAGAGCAGGATCTTCATGGTGATGGTTTTCAGCTGCCCACCAGCACACAGGATACAGTGGCAGAGCCAGGGGTTGGGGCACACTGAGGGTGATTGGGTCTCTTTTTATACCCTGGTCTCTCTGTACTGTTGGTCTCTAGGCACATGTGCTTTCCTCCCTTTGTACCATCTTGTGTCCCCTCCACTTAGAAGGATTTTGTTTGTCTTTCTCTCTGGCGGGCATTAATGACTTTAATATCTACTCTGTAGTCAACTTAAAAGGGCACTAATGGCTTTGATGATGGAATCAAAAGATTAGGATTTGATAACAAATGTAAAATACACTGGTAACCTGTATTGACTGAGAAATGGGTGCTGGCAACTTCTGGCATAACAATGGAACAATTTGCTCTTTGGCTCCAAAGGACATGTGCTTTTTTGAGATCTACTTTCCACTTTTTCCTCTCCATCTCTCCCCCATCTTCTGCTCCTACTCATCTATGCTGGTGTTGTTGTGTGCCATGAGTCAGTTTCAACTCCTGTATAAGGTTTCCAAGGCTCTAAATCTCTACAGGAACAGAAAGTCGCATCTTTTTCACATGGAGAAGTTGGTGGATTTGAGCTACCAACCATATGGTTGACAGCCCAACTTATTAACCAGGGCTCCAGCTGTCTCATCTATATTGTTGTTGTTGTTGTTGTTGTTGTTGTGAAGCACCATTGGGTCAGTTCCAATGCATAGCAACCCTGTATAGGATTTCCGAGGAGTGACTGGTGAATTTGAACCACCAACCTTATGATTCAAGCCCACCTTGTGGTTCAGTACATACCTACAACACCACACTGCCTTCCATATATTACTCACATGGTCTATGACATTCTTCATTCTTTGTTTTGTTTTTTCTCCCACGGGAATTTTACACCATTTCATTGCAATGGTTACAATCTCCTCCATGCATCGTCATTCAACAGTATTTGTTTCCAATCCCTGTTTTGTTTTGTTGGGGGGTGGGATGTACACAGAAACACTCAGGCATATATGATAATTTAAACAATCAAAGGCCACATTCTGCAAGCCTGCCTCCTGGTCACCAGCACCCAGTCCCTCTCTTTCCATGAGTCCTCAGCTGCTCCCTCTCTCCATGTCCTCATCTCTGTCTCCATATCTTGTGACGCTGCTTCTCTGGATAGTGTCCCGCATTCCACTTGTGCACTTCTCTCTTGATGGTCCTAGGGTCCTCTGTTTCTGCCTGTAAGATTAACTACTCCCCTATTTTTGTTACACAACTTCTACCTTTACAGTAGTGACAGTCACAATTAGTCATGATAACAATTACTATTGAATCATAAGAATCTTATCCCCATCTCTTTTTACCAGACCCATCTAGACAAGATGAAAACTATTCAGTGGGGATTCGACCTTCCCACACACACTCTGAAACTAAACTCCCTCTTGAAAACTTGTAAGCCAGTCACTTCATGCCTTTATTGCCCCCTCATTTTAGGTAGCCAATGCCTAAGTTGCTCATCCCTATCTACCCTGTATACAAAGGGGATAAGATTGATATTTGACATGAAGACTCCTTCCCTCTCAGTTGGTATTTTGAGCTACTACATCCATAAATATAGGTCAAGTTCATCAAATTGTAGCAATTTACACTCATATCCTTTATCAAAATTGTTTTTTTTAATCTTCCTCTAGTCAAGTTCTGATTATAAAGCCATTGAGTGTAGGTCAAATGGGTACTATCTGCAAGTTTGAACATTCTTGTGCATCTCCCCTCACTTCATATCAGCTGGATGCTTCATTCTCTACTCTAGCCCTCCATGGTTATGTCCTTGTGCATGGGCTCAGGCGTGCCCAGTCTCACCACACTTCAGCTCAACGCAGACCTTCCTCTTCACTCTCTCATCTCCAGGTCAAAGGGAGTCTATGGAATGTGGTTGAACTCAGCCCACATTTTTCATTGCTGCCTTCCTCCCGTCTTCCACTCACCAGTAGACCAATATGGTTGCCAGCAAGTTTACATGCCTGCTCATGTGTTCCCTTTGAGTTTCAGTTTTAGAGGGAGGTTTGTCTACTCTTCATTTTTTATTATATTTTAGTTCATTAGTCAGCCATTTATTGACTGACTTTTCTGTGTCCAAGGAGCACTGGTGGTGCTGAAGGATAAGCACTGAACTGCTAATTACAAGGTTGACAAAATTCCTAGCATGATAATTGCAACTCAGAAAATTTTTCACAGCTCTAGAAACCATATGAAATGGAAGGACTAGAAGCAATAGTACTGGACCAAATCACAAGGTCAGCCATTCAAATCCACCAGATGCTCGCATGATTTGTTGAATACAAACGTATGGTCTTCTCTGGAAATTTTCATTCAATTCACAATAAATAAAAACCATTTTTAAAATGCTCATGGACTAAAAAGGAGTCATCTCAGAAGCAGAAAAAGAAGATCCCAGTACCATCAAGATGGAAGAGCTACATGTGAAGCGGGAGATCTCTGTTTGGAAAAGCAGTGGCAAAAGAGGCAGCACCGTGGAGAGACAGAGTAGGGGGCATCCTGGCCTATGAAATGAGTGAAGTTGAGTGCTTTGGAGCAGGAAACTGGCTTTCAGAATGAGGAGTCCTTTGGGCAGTTACTCACAGGGCTAACAGAGCTTGTACTCTTGCCTGAGCAGGACAGAGGCCAAGGGATTTTGTCATTGACAGGCTGAGGATGAGGGAGAAGTGTGCCTACAGTATGGCTGAAAATAGGCACTCCTGACCAGAGAACTTCTGTCTCCTGAGTTGTTTCTGATCCTGAATTGCACCCTGTTCACTTCCTTATTAAACCCCATAATTGTGAGTATTGGAGGGGAAAAAAAAAAAAAAACTCATGGAAAAATGGAATTTCCAGGACCTCAGGGATCAGAACCATAGTCTCAGGGGACACCATGGTCAATTGGCATACCATAGTCCACAAAGACAATGTTCTATATCTTACTTTGGTGAATAGCAACTAGAGTCTTAAAAGCTCATGAGCAGTCACTTAACGTGCAACTATTGGTCTCTCCCTATCTGGAGGAAATAAGAGTGATAAAAATTGAAGACATTTGGTATAATTTAGTCCAATGGACTAGTGATACATGTGAACATCAATCTCCATGACCCTGAGACCAGAACAAGATGGTGCCTGGCTACCATCACTAACAGTTCTGAAAGGTATCATATTAGAAGGTCCTATATAAAGCGGGGTGAAATGTGGATCAAAACTCAAAATTATGAAAAAAACATAACAAAAAATGGCCAGGTTTACTGTTTAGAAAGAGACTGAAGGAATCCAAGACCATGGCCCTTACTCACCCTTCAGGTCTGAAACTGAACTCATCTTCGTGGCTCAATTTTTAGTCACACAGTAGATAAATATACAGTAGGGACAACAACATTTGTGTGGTGTGCCCCATGGAATGGTCAACCATCGAAGATCAAAGGAGCACCATTTACCTAGGGACAAAATTCAAAAGGAATAAGAAACAAGGTATAATGGAAACAAGAATCACAGGGATGCAGTGGGATAATGGATTTTATATTGAAGAGATTCCACTACTCCTCTGTCAGTCTGTCATACTGTGGTGGCTTTTGTGTTGCTGTGATGCTGGAAGCCAGGCCTCCCATATTTGAAACAACAGCATGCTCACCCATGATGGACAGGTTTCAGAGGAACTTCCAAATTAAGACAGACTAGAAAGAAGGATAGCGAACTACTTTGAAATTACTACTTATATAAATAACAGCAGAGCATTATCAGATGTAGTACCTGAAGATGAGCCCCTAAAGTTGGAAGGCATTCAAAATATGACTGGGGAAGAGCTGCCTCCTCAAAATAGAGTTGCCTGTGAATGGAGCAGAGTTTTTGGGACTTTCATATGTTGATGAGGCACAACTCCAAATGAGGAGAAACCACAGCAAACATCCATTAATAATCAGAACATGGATTGTACAAAAGAAGAATCTAGAAAAATCAAAAGCTGTCAAAATGAAATGGAAGACATAAAGATTGATATCCTAGGCATTAATGAACTGAAATGAATTGGTATTGGCCATTTTGAATCTGACAATCATATTGTTTACTGTGGCTGAAACAACAAATTCCAGAAGAATGGCATCACATTCATTGTCAAAAAAGAATATTTCAAGATCTATTTTGAAGTACAATGCTGTCTATGATAGGATAATATTCATATGCCTACAAGGAAGACCAGTTGATACAATTATAAGTCAAATTTATACACCAACTATTAAAGCCAGTGATGATGAAATTGAAGAATTCTACCAACTTATTTAGTCTGAAATTGATCAAACATGTAATCAAAATGCATTGATAATTACTGGTGATTGGAATGTGAAAGTTGGAAACAGAGGAAGGAATACTAGTTGGAAAATATGGTCTCAGTGATAGAAATGATGCTGGAGATCACATGATAGAATTTTGCAAGACCAACAACTTATTCATAGCAAATTCCTTTTTCAATAGCATAAAAGATGATTATACACATGGACCTCATCAAAAGGAATACACAGGAATCAAATGGACTGTTTCCGTGGGAAAAGATGATGTAAAAGCTCAGTATCATCAACTCCTAAGCTAAAATAAGTCCAGGGACAGACTGTGGGAAAGACCATCAATTGCTCTTATGCAAGCTCAGGCTAAAGCTGAAGAAAATGAAAACAAGTCCACAAGAGCCAAAGTACAACCTTGAACATATCCTGCTGAAATTAGAGACCATCTCAAGAACAGCTTTGATGCATTATACACTAGTAACCGTAGACCAGAAGAGTTGTGGATGACCTCAAGAACATCATAGAGGTAGAAAGCAAAAGGTCATCTAAAAGATGAGAAAGAAAGAAAAGACCAAATGGATATCAGAAGAGATTCTGAAATTTGCTCTTGAATATAAAGAAAGTAAAGAAACTGGAAGAAATGAGGAAGCTTATCAGAAAAATTCAAGGGCAGCTCGAAAAGACAGACTAAAGTATTATAATGAACTGTGCA